CCCTGCCATTCTACTTATCCCTGCCATTCTACTTATCCCTGCCATTCTACTTATCCCTGCCATTCTACTTATCCCTGCCATTCTACTTATCCCTGCCATTCTACTTATCCCTGCCATTCTACTTATCCCTGCCATTCTACTTATCCCTGCCATTCTACTTATCCCTGCCATTCTACTTATCCCTGCCATTCTACTTATCCCTGCCATTCTACTTATCCCTGCCATTCTACTTATCCCTGCCATTCTACTTATCCCTGCCATTCTACTTATCCCTGCCATTCTACTTATCCCTGCCATTCTACTTATCCCTGCCATTCTACTTATCCCTGCCATTCTACTTATCCCTGCCATTCTACTTATCCCTGCCATTCTACTTATCCCTGCCATTCTACTTATCCCTGCCATTCTACTTATCCCTGCCATTCTACTTATCCCTGCCATTCTACTTATCCCTGCCATTCCTAATTATTATTATCGCTGCCATCACTGTCTCTGTTATTATTAACATTATGTATTATTATGTATAATGCTGTTCTTCTCTTCTGATGGTTAGCAGGAATGTATGGCGAATATGGCACCTCTGTTCTAAACAAAACTATATCAGGCCAAGTTCTACCCGGCCAACCAAAGCCGAGGAAACCAAGGAGGCCCTGGACAAGGGCAGTGTTTTCTAATCTTCAGAGGAAGGGACTGGAAAAACGCTTCCAGCTACAGAAATATTTAACAAAATCCGATCGACATCAGGTGGCATCTATGTTAGGGTTGTCTGACAACCAAGTGAAAGTCTGGTTTCAAAACAGGCGAATGAAATGGAGACAGGAAGCGAGAGAGACAATAGCTACCGGAAGCCCTGAGGAAGGTTCAGATAAGCAAGACCAGTAGTTTACATTTCCTCGCGGTCGCACTATTTTTAAGTTCAAGGAAGAGAAAGACCTATCATCTCTTCACCGAGCAATAAAATAAATTAGTTACGGATGAAAATATCTATCCGAAGTTAGTTAAATCCCGGAGTTTAAATTATTAGGTGATAAACTTATCATCTCCGTGTACAGAAGTTTAGAAATTCTTGACGTAAATTCCAATTGCCCATTTCTTGTAAGTCCTGATGGTAACCGGATTCAAAAGCTGGTTTTTTTACTTTGTGTACATTTAGGATCAAAATAATAGTGGCTGTGATATTCAAACCATGAAAATATTAGTAGCAGAAACTTCTCTTTTCCTTTATAGACCTAGATTTTGAAATAAGGCTTCGTACCCTTAAAGTAACCGGGACCTCGAGTATGGGGCGTCAGGTCCAGTAATTTGGTTAAGTTTCGTTTAATCTACAGTCGAATAATCATACACTCTAAGTCTGAGAGTTTTTGCGTATTCTCGAGGCTTTGCTACCTTCCTCTTTTTACGAAATTTTGAAAGCTGCCCGCAGTTTGAAAGCGAGGCTAGTTGGTAAAATAGGCTCCTCTGGATAAACTTTGGATCGTGTAAAGGTTTCTGATTGCTTCTATTACATGATTTGTGAAATCTATGAGCTCAAAAGCTTTTGAAAACAGCAATCATATGATAAACCACGTACCAAGAAGGTGCCAAATACGAAACTCAAACATCAAGATTGCTGGCATTTGTAAAAAGGCATATACATACATAAAGTTCAATGTTTAAAAAAGTGTTTACGCTGTCGTGATTCGTTATAACTTTTCAGAGGCTTTTCCTGTTAGAGAAAGGCATGCTGGGAAAGTAAACTGATGTGGAGAGAAGTCGGAACCTCCTGAGATAAATGAGAGTTGGAAGAATGATAATGATGTTGAGGATACTGTAATATTAGATAAATTTACATGAAATGTCGCAAAAAAAAAAAAAGGAAAAGAAAGAAAGAAAAGAAATTCAAGCAACAAAAGACTTTAGATGCAGATTTTACGAGTACAGTTGAAAATAATGGTGTCAAGGTATTTCTATCGTTTTTGCGCCGCGTTGAACTTCCTTCAAAGAGAAGGCGAGCACAAATTATCAGCTCCGTTCCAGACAAAAGAGGTATGAATGAATCCTTATTTATATTGCGCCCTTTCTATACAATATTCAAAGGCGCAGTACCCCCCATCAATTTGATAGACACTACACAAAGATAGACCACAACACCGGGCACTACGTGCCCTACTCTTTTCGAACAGTGTGTGGGTTCTTTAACGTCCCACAAATTTTTTTTTTTTTTTATCACATACAAGGGCTTGTGAGACGGGACCTCCATTTATCGTCCCTATCCGAGAAGATTAGAAAGGCTAAGCATTTGCAGATATTATTACAAAGGCAGCACTTCCAGTTCTCAGTTGTTTAAAGACCCTGAGTGTTGGTCCGGCCGGATTTGAACTCACGACCTCCCGCACAACAGTCCGGCGCTCTACCAATTGAGCTAACCGGGAGGCGGTTAGCTCAATTGGTGAAGTATTTTAACCGGGGGCACACAAAAGAGGTAGCAATAACCTGGTTAAAGATAGAGGGTTAGAGATGCTTCACAGAGGTGGACTTTTCCAGAAAAGGACTGGTGGTGTTTTTTTTTTTTCCATTTACATTGTTAAGAAGAAAAATAGAGGCTTGAAGGGATAATTTTGACGCACCTTGCATACTCGATTTTGTAACAGGCAAAGCGAACCACCCGTTATGCTGTAACTGAGGTTTCTTCAAGTAAATTGAAAAGAAAAGCTTAAAGACGGAGGTTGCTTCTACTAAACTCTGTAACATCAGTAAAAACTTTTTTCTTTTGTATTGAAGAGTATAACAACAGAATTTACGAAAGATTTTTAATTAGCTCAGTTTAGCCAGAGGCAAGAGAGGCACCCTTTCAAGGAAGTGCAATCATATTTTAACGAACAGGAAATAATGAATGGTCGTCACATTATGAATTTAAAAGTATTCTTTATTTCATTTGATTTATATCAGTGTCAAAGAGAACCGATATAGAGGTGTGAATCTGTTAGTTCCTAAAAATAACCATCACTTAAATATTCTGGCATCGGCATTTTTTTTCCTCTTCTTCTTGTTTACATACTTGGTGTGTTTTGGCGACTGTCGGCGATTTTAGTGACGGTCCGAGATGAGGTAAACTCATGATAACTAGTGACAAAAAACCCATGCAGTACTGAAATTCAGAGGTTAATTGATTATTAGGCGCTGGTAACGACCAGATTGCAGGTGTTTTATGTCAAGTTTCTTGTACGTAATTCGTGGTTTCTTAACTGGCATTGTTCTAATTTATCGCCGGCGTTAGCTGTCCGCCATAATCAAACAACCGCATATGGCGGTGGATTCGTTACAAGGTAAATTGCGGCAGGCGGATTGTTTTACTAACGGATATTTCACCTTTTCGCTGTTCTTATTCAACTTGACTAGAAAAAATTTAAAATTCTTTCTGACAAAGAGAAAACGGCTTTTCTGTTAAAGTAGTGCTGTATCTATAAAATATACGTATTCCTGTTGCTTTTTTTGCACGTACTAGGTGATATTTAGAATTACCAACGACTAATTTCTAAGAAATTGAAATTGTAGCATTGTTTATATATGTTACTAAAAAACATTTATTGAATCGTTCTATAAAAAACAGCAAATATATTCCTACTTTGTCCCAGCTTCACATGAACGG